CTCTCCAAGTGATGAGAACATACAGCTGGAAACTCTTGGATAAGAGTTTGGGTCAGCTGGAAGTACCTGATGGGGAGAACACATTGGACTTTGAGTTTTGGGACAACGAGATGCATTGGTATTGTGAAGACAATGACCATTTTGGCGCATCTTACTTGTCTGAGAATTTGTGTGATGAGATGCTTCGGATTGTGAGGGCAATATCTACATCATCGTCATCGTGATATCCAGATCATATATCTGACTCTGGCTTATATGTGTTTATCGTCTTCTGAAGCGACTTTGTTTGCATTGTGGATTGGCTATTACAGTGGTCGAAAGACTACAGCGATACAACTGTATTTGGCTGACCTACATTGTGAATGTCGAACAGAACATTCTGCTCTACATTGAGGTTTGAAGCTGTGAGGTGCTATCTCTATGTGGATAACTGATTTGGAGATGGAACTTTGTGTTCCGACGACGTTTTGTATTCAGAAGAACATTGTACAGAAGACTGTGAATGAATCACTTCGTTCTTAAATAGCAACGCAGTTAGGTTAGCGTTAGCTAGCTGGTTATTCACGTTTGGATGAGAACCAGTTTGCTTTGAGAACTTTTGGAAGTGTTTCGATGTTTTTATCACTAGGTGAATTTGTAGATTTGTAGCAGCTGGAATCGTTTCAACAAACTTTTTCTTTGAAGAACCTGAGGTTTGTTAACTGGAAACCTGGAATCGAGTTTACCAGTTGAGACATCGGCTCAAGGGAGTGGTGTCAGAAGTTCATTTAATGAACAGAGCTGCAGTGTCACCTAGCTTAACATAAGACAGACCGACAGAGGGAACACTTTGGCTTGCTTTGCTTGGTTTCTTTCTTTGTTTGTTGTGTTCGTGTTTCCCTGTGACTGATCGTGTTGCGTCTGGAGCGAAAAGAAGGAGTCCGACGTCAGCATGTGGGAGTCGAGGGTGAAACAAGTTTCTTGACACGGCAGTGTTTTAGTGTAATTAGGTTTGTGGCTACATGCTCTGCGCTCGTGTTTGACGTCCGCGTTTTCCCGCGTAGTCCTTTAGAATTTTTGATGAAGCGTTGGATCTGACTTCAGATCTGTGCACGGCGCTTTTTCAACATGGTAGCGGAGCTGTATGGGGCTACCCACACCATTCTCCGCTGACCCTTGTGACAGTGGCTTAGCACACTGTGACAACCTGCTGAGGACGCCATCTAAAGTGAAGCTGAGATCGTTTGTATTGAGCTCCTGGGTTTTAGCGCTAGATCTGTGTTGAGCTTGTACTAAGGTTCTACAGTGATCGCTAGGTTGGTACACTGGTAGTGTAAAGTCAAGGGCATCGAAGAGCTTGAATATTCTTGATCCAGGTGGTTTGTCTTGCAGTGGGCTTTGTTTTCTAGTTTATGACACGATTTGGCTGTAAGGTCATGTTATGAAAGTGACTTGTCAAAGTGTCTGTCTGAAACGATATGATTTGAAGTGCTTGAGGCTGTCTCGACAGGTTGATGGTTGGGAGCTAGTACTGGAGACACAAGAAAGGTGTTTGGACTTGGAGGACTCCGACAACTTGCCTGGAGATGCTTTAGAGTGTAAAGAGTTATGTAAATCGATTTGGTTAACAGGTTGATGGTTGGGAGCTAGTCCTGGAGACACAAGAAAGGTGTTTGGACTTGGAGGACTCCAGCAACTTGCCTGGGAATGCTTGAGTTTGTAAATTGTTGTAGAGACGAGTTTAGAAAACCACAGTACCCTGTTTGGAACCGAGAAATTTGGGTATCAAGGAATTTCGCAATAGTTTTGCCTGGGATGGATGCCAGACATAGTGACAGAGACAACGCCATGTATGAGGCAGTGAACGACCAACTCATTGGCCGGCTTATCGAGTTAGAGAGGTTGACAAGTGTCGTGAGGTTGGTACAGACGTTGATCGTATTTATGGAGTGGCTGATACCGCTGTTGGAAGATGTTCGAATTAGCCGCAACAACTTGGATATCATCGCGATGTTGAAAGACAATCTCCTGAACTTAGAAGCGGAGTTACAGCAACAATCCTGGGAAGTACGAGAGCATATACTAACAAGGTACCATAGAGCGCTGAGAGGCTGGCGAGAGCGGTGAAATGAGTTTGTATGTTTAGGCATCTGAGGCATGTCATAGGCCATAGGCGTAGTGCGATGAAGGTCCTGACAAGAGTGGTGAATGTGAGAAAAATCCGTGACAACAGCTGAACTGCATGTTGCAATTGTGTTGCAGTGTTGTTGCAGTTGAGATTCATGTTTGATTTGCATGAGCTTGGTGATTTTGGTATCGAGAGCCTGGAGAATCACTAGAAAGCTTTGATGAAAAATACCATTAAAGGACCGGATAACCCCACAAGTCAACTTCTTCCAACAAGCAACAAAAGAAAGGCAAAGACGGCATGGGGTAAGCAAGAAAGAGAAAAGAGATGGTGAAGGATTGGTGTGGAGTAAGTTATGTGTGGACGAGTATGTGTGAGTAAGTTGTGTACGGATGAGTTGTGTTTGTGGGTGAGGTGTGTGGGTGTGCGTGTGTGTGTGTGCGAGTATGTGTGTGTGGTGTGCGGCCGCGATCAAAGATGCCCCACGCCAGGAAGTGCGGCGCAGGGCAATCGATGCGTGACCATTGATTATGTGTCCGCAAACGTACAGCGCAGACCATCACGAAAACGGATGGCCCACGACTGGCGTTTGGATGATGTGTGTGTGTGTGGGTGTGTGTGTGTGTGCGTGGGCGTGTATGTGTGCGTGTGTGTGTGTGTTTGTGTTTGTCTGTGTGTGTGTGTTTATCTGTGTGTGTGTGTGCGTGTGTGTGTGTGTATGTGTGTGTGTGTCTGTGTGTGTGTGTGAGTGCGGGTGTCGGCGTGGACCATGTACGCGATGAGGTCAGTACCTGGCAGGTAGTATCAGAAGTTGCGATCACGCTGAAATTGCAACAAAACAGCTGGCCATGGACAGTGCAGAAACAGCAAGTGACATACACGCCTGCCACGCCTGCCACGTGAAACGAAGGTGGATGTGAGGTTGTGCCACGCCTGCCACGCAAAGTGGCGCGGCGCCCCAGGCGCCAAATCCCGGCCCAAGGGCGCCACCCAGTACCATCTGTCCCACGCCTGCCACGCAAAACGACGGCAGATGTCAGTTTGTGCCACGCCTGCCACGTGAAACGAAGGTGGATGTGAGGTTGTGCCACGCCTGCCACGCAAAGTGGCGCGGCGCCCCAGGCGCCAAACCCCGGCCCAAGGGCGCCACCCAGTACCATCTGTCCCACGCCTGCCACGCAAAACGACGGCAGATGTCAGTTTGTGCCACGCCTGCCACGTGAAACGAAGGTGGATGTGAGGTTGTGCCACGCCTGCCACGCAAAGTGGCGCGGCGCCCCAGGCGCAAAATCCCGGCCCAAGGGCGCCACCCAGTACCATCTGTCCCACGCCTGCCACGCAAAACGACGGCAGATGTCAGTTTGTGCCACGCCTGCCACGTGAAACGAAGGTGGATGTGAGGTTGTGCCACGCCTGCCACGCAAAGTGGCGCGGCGCCCCAGGCGCCAAATCCCGGCCCAAGGGCGCCACCCAGTACCATCTGTCCCACGCCTGCCACGCAAAACGACGGCAGATGTCAGTTTGTGCCACGCCTGCCACGTGAAACCAAGGTGGATGTAAGGTTGTGCCACGCCTGCCACGCAAAGTGGCGCGGCGCCCCAGGCGCCAAATCCCGGCCCAAGGGCGCCACCCAGTACCATCTGTCCCACGCCTGCCACGCAAAACGACGGCGGATGTCAGTTTGTGCCACGCCTGCCACGTGAAACGAAGGTGGATGTCAAGTTGTGCCACGCCTGCCACGCAAAGTGGCGCAGCGCCCCAGGCGCCAAATCCCGGCCCAAGGGCGCCACCCAGTACCATCTGTCCCACGGCTGCCACGCAAAACGACGGCAGATGCGAGTTTGTGCCACGCCTGCCACGTGAAACCAAGGTGGATGTCAGGTTGTGCCACGCCTGCCACGCAAAGTGACGCGGCGCCCCGGGCGACAAATCCGGACCAAGCGCGCCACACAGTACCATGAGTGCCACGCCGGCCACGCAAAACGACGGTGGATGCGAGTTTTGTGCCACGCCTGCCACGTGAAACGAAGGTGGAGTGTGGTGACAAAGTGTGTGGTGACAAAGTGTATGGTGACAAAGTGTGTGGTGACAAAGTGTGTGTTGACGAAGTATTCGTTGATAAAGTGTGTGTGGACAACCTGTGTGGTGACAAAGTATGTGGTGACAAAGTGTTTGTTGATAAAGTGTGTGTGGACAAAGTGTGTGGTGACAAAGTGTTTGTTGAGAAAATGTATGTTGACAAAGTGTATGTTGATAAAGTGTGTGTGGACAAAGTGTGTGGTGACAAAGTGTGTGTGGACAAAGTGTGTGGTGACAAAGTGTATGTTGATAAAGTGTGTGTGGACAAAGTGTTTGTGGACAAAGTGTTTGTGGACAAAGTGTTTGTGGACAAAGTGTTTGTTGATAAAGTGTGTGTGGACAAAGTGTGGAGGAGGGCGGAGGAGGAGAAGGCGGAGGAGGAGGAGCCCGGGATACAGAATCAAAAACAAGAACCCCACACAAAGATGTGGGGAATTAAAAGAAGAATGCACCAGCGCTTCGGCAATTGGACTTGGTTTTTTCTTTCGCTCGAGATGCAAAATCGAGAGGCAACATGCGTGCCTGCAGCTGATTTGGAGCAAAAGAATACTTAAAAAACAGAATCTCCGAAAATTCGCAGAAGGCATTGAGACCAGCAAGTATGACGCATTGTTTTTAGGAGCACTCGTAGGTATGTCACTGCATGATATACGATGATGAAAATGTATGCCTTCAACCCCAGACCGAAATCCAATTGATGGCCAAAATTAGGATGATTGATGTCGTGTTGACATGTTTCTACATGTTCCATATGTTCGATGCTTCACATCTCTTCACATCAAGTGAGGAAGTGCAAAAATTGCTGATGTGAAGCAACAAGGAAAGGGTCCACCTGGCCCCATGGTGTGCTGTTGGTCCTGGTTTGAAACCTTGCGGCGCAAGACGGAAGGCGGCTATCCGTCACCTGCTTAGGTGGCCTCTCTGGCGGTGGTTTCACTGGTATTGCAAAAAAGTCATCAGTCTGTCAGTTTGGTATTGCGGATGACCAAATTTGGCGAGGTCGATTTGGGCTGACTGCAGAGGACTGGGGGTGAGTTGGCCAGGATAGCATGCTTGCCTGCGGCATGATGCAGATTTGTGCTGTTGTGTCGTGATCAGTTGGCATCAGTAGACTGTTCTTCACACCTGGCGACATGAACGACATTACCTTTTGAGCCGCAGACGGGGGAATCGGTTCAGTGCTTTCGTGTTGCGTCAGGAGAGGATCCACAAAGCGCAGGCCGAGATGCGGAAAACCAAGCAGTCTCAGCTCACAGGCCGTTTCCTGGTTTAAGCTCAGCTTAAGCTCTTGTTGTACTTGTTGGACTGGACACGGCGGACACCGCATAGTGATGGGATGGCTGAGGCTCACCCACGGTCTGCGACGAAGAGAACGAGTGGCGTGCCAGTGAGCGTTTCTTTCTTCCTTGGACAGTGCCCTGGTAGGATGATGAGGATGATGAGGAGGAGGAGGAGGAAGACGATTTTTCTAATACCTGCCGCTGGCTGTCCCATGTTTGGGGGGTTCACCCAGAGGATCAGGTGCAAGCCCTAAAAGTGAACTCAGCGGTTTAAGATCATGTTGGAGACACCATTTTCCGGATACATTACTTTTATGCCCCCTCTGCCTCACAGCCCTGCTTCGATTCCATTCTGAGTCCACGTTTCTCGAGTGGGCCCAGTTAGGGGGCGCCTGGGATGGCCAAAGCCAAAGCTTCAAACTTATCATGCCAATCTGAATTAGTAGGGCAAAAAGCACACAGATTTCAATTGGATCATGATCTAAAGATGGTAGGTTTTTGAGCACATGAATGCGGAAGAACTTCGAGCCCCAAAAAGGGATTTCACACTCCCAAAATAAATCGGTGTATCCCAACACGGACCACTCCATTCAACTTTGGGGTCTTGGACCCATTGTATAAAAGTGATATCACATAATATCATATCACAATATCACTGTTTATGTACTAGTCAGTCAGTTGTCCTTACTATATAATTACTAATCGCGAGTGGTCATACCCATATGATTCCAGAATCCAATGTATCCCCATGTCAATGATGACATGGTAGTGTTATTCCCACGTGATGTTACTTGGTATTACTGCTGTTCTTACGATTACCATCTTTCATTTTCTTGGTAAACTTGTCATCTTATGTCATCTTTCACAGGCTATACCTCCATGCCTGAATCTCACCCCTTTTGGGGTGATGTGATGTGTCCCTTTGTGTTGGTTTATCTCGCTTTCTACATCTTGCCATGTTTGTGACGTCCGGTGAAATCAAATCAGCCTGGTGCCCCCAAGGTGATGAAGTGATGGAGCCAGAGGCAACGGTGATCAGCCCCGGCGCGAGAGAAGATTCTCGGTTGCTCCATGTGGATGGAAACCACGACATCAATCAGGGCCTCTCGAACGAGAGTATCCCCCATCCAAACCTAGATTACCTTCAAACGGAAACTAGTGAAACATATGCGTCGTTGATGCTTTCAAAGCAACTGCTTGGGCAATTAGATCTCAATTAGTGATCATTGCTGCGTGTCAAATGGTCGTTTCCCCATTGATTGGAAGTGGAAAAGATATCATTTCGCAAAGGAAAACCTACTTAGACTTAGAATGACTTTCCATGTCCACGGTTGTTACCCAGAAGATGCATCGTCATTTTTTGAATATCCCAGGTTAGTCATGAACTCCCCATCTTTTGTTTGCCGGTCGTTACGCATTTTGATCGGTTTCACCGAAGCTTTATCTCCCAATTTGGCAGCTCCATCACTATCTATATATATATAATATATATGATCTCGTGTTCCGTGTTCCTACCCCCCCCATTGTATGGGTCCCCAGGTAGCACCCCCATTCCTTTCTATTTGCAAGCTATTGGCGGCATTTCTGAGGTCCAGCCTCGTATTTGCTAGGTCTTTGCAGCATTTCTGACTACCAGCCTCGCATTTACTAGGTACATGCTACCTTTTAGACGACCTACGTAGCACACCTACGCGCTAACTATAGTCATATATACATGTGCTATGTGCCTACATTCATACATACATACATGCATGCATGCATGCATGCAGGCATACATACATACATACATACATACATACATACATACATACATACATACATACATACATACATACACACATACATACGTGCATACGTGCATACGTGCATACCTACATACATACATACATACATACATACATACATACATACATACATGCATACATGCATACGTGCATACGTGCATACGTGCATACGTGCATACGTGCATACCTACATACCTACATACATACATACATACATGCTCAGAACTGTCATTGCAAATTTTGATGTGGAATGCATCTTACGCGCAAAAACACTCCAATTACACCTGACAGGAATGGGTCGGTGAAAAGACCCGACAGAGAAGCAAGAAGCTACCATCGCCATAGTCAATGCTAGATGAAATCAGTTGGAAGCTGACCCTTCCCTTTCAACTAAGCCAAATCGTTCCCACCTTGACAGATTGCGAAAACCGTACAGAAAATGAAATGGCAGAGACTCAAAACTGACGTCACGGCGGTTCTAGGCTTAGCCGGTTGCCATATACGACCAAAATGCTGCAAGAAAACGATGTTGAAATCGCAGGTACGTGATGAAGGCGTCCCTTCGTCATATCACCATGGAAAGGCAGTGTCTTCGTTGGTGGATGACTGCCAGACCATGCATCCACCCCCTGCTGTGAAAGTAAATGAATAACGAAACTGTCATGTAAACATGATCGTTGGTATTGCTCAGAACTGTCTTGTCGAATTCGGTTTGTGGAACGCATCAGATGTGCAAAAAACACCAACAATAATATGACAAGATGAATATACAAACATATATATATATATAGACGTATTGTCACAGTAGATGTTGACCATATAAACCAACAGCGTTAAAAAATATAATTGTATATATATATATATATATGTCCCCCCCCAGGTGCGACTTATATGCGCCCAGGGGCAGGACTCATATATATATATATACAAATATGTATAAAGCAGCAAGTACAGGAAACCGGCCACGTTTCCCTTCCACTCATGTCCACCGCTTCATTGCGTGTGGTAGGACATGAGTGCCACAAGCCCCTGCAGCAGAATGAAGTTTTACATCTATAAAGATGGTACACACACAGACGCCCCGCGGCGGGGCTGACAATGAAAGTGAGATGACAATGAAAATGAGATGAAAATTACTTAACCAGGACGCGAAGAGGGGAACACAAAAGAAGAGGGAAAGAGCAAACACCAACACAACACACCTGGCCCAGAGCGAGCAAACCCTGACAGGGCAAGGAAAAGAAACGGAGGCCGACGGAAACGGAACCAGACCAGCGAAGGAGGGGGAAGACGGAAGCGCCTGAACCAACCTACCACAGCGAAACCTGAGCCTACCTAAGCACGCGCAGGACCCAACCTACCTGTAGAGAGGAGAACACATGAGATAGGGGGCCCATGGGGGACTAGGTAGTGAAAAGATGCATCCACAATAGCATGCAGTGCCCCCTTGTCTGGCTAAATGGCCGAAAAATCACGTCAACCCAGTTTACATATATATATTTGTATATATGTGTGTGTGTGCGTGTATGTATTTATTCGTTGGTTGGTTTGTTTGTTTATTTGTTTGTTTATTTATTTATTTATTTATTCATTTATCTATTTATTTATTTAATTATTTATTTATTTATTTAGTTAGTTGTTTAGTTGTTTGTTTTTTTTACACAGACACATATCTATGTATATATATATATAGCTGGCTGAATTTTCATTTGCGTGAGTTGCCCAGCTTTTGAGCTGAGGACCTTTTGCGCCAGAGCAAGGACAAAGATCATTACCAGTGCGTTGAGTCGATCCAGGACCACAACTGCTCCAAACAGCAGGAAATCTCAGCCAGAAATGTGTGGGATACAGACCAAGAATTTTGGATTCATGGAGTACGTGTTTTGTTTGTTTTAATACGAACAACAATTTGGACATCGCCTTTTCTGAAGAAACCATGTTGTAAATTCTTCCAGTTTTGTTTGATTTTATAACTGGAGAACCAGGGGCACTGACTTTTGCCACATACGATTCGGCACGAAACTGGACCTCGGCATTTGGGTTGAGATGACACGTGGCGAAATGTCCACAGGACCTGCGCAGACTTGCGCATGATTTGGAACCATGACATGCAAAAGCTAGAGTCTCGGGTCTCGGTGTCTTTCTGTGGTGAGCATCAAGCATCAAAGCTGTCAAGTTGGCGCAACGGGACATACCTCCTGTGGTTCATCAAAATTGAGTGCCACTCGGTTCTGATCTGCTAGTTTTGTTTGCATCCATTTTTCTTAGGTCATATGGGTTTGTCTGAAAGTAGCAGACCCAAAAATGTCGCGGCTTAGAAAATCATGTTGGGTATCCCATCAGTTTGGAACAAATTCGTACATTTTTTTTTCACAACCCAGCCATCACTGCCGTTAGGAGACCAAAACGGTGTTTGCTTCTCAATCTGCACAGCCTCAGGAGCAGGGAAGCCCGTGACTTCCATGGTGTGGGGTTTGTGACATGTCATGACATGTCCCAAAATTTTGGGGATGCCAATTTCGATTTTTGGACTATCCTGAGTTGGAGTCATACATACCACTTGTGTGATGCCCTCCATATTTGCTGCTACTCAGTATATTTGTTTCAAGTCCCCTCTATAAATGATCCTAGGAACATGAGCTTGGAAAAATCCTCCCCGCGTTGTTGGGATTATCATCGTGATACATTCTTGCATTCTTATGTTGATGGGATCTCTTCTCATTGATTGTCGCTTGTACACTGCAATCTTCCCACCGCTTTGAACAGGTTGGACCAACAGCCATCCGCACCAGGCGCAGTCGGCGTTGTAGAGTGGATCCACGGAGCATGGCGACACAGACACATTGACCAACCGAGCTCATGACTCCAACCAAGAATTCACGGTTTGAAGATTGAGAAGGTAATTTGTTTGCTCTGGTTTCCATGACCCAGACCCATCTTCAAGTCCCCCATTTCACAGTCTTTCGATCAACTGTGACAGTTTGCAGGCACGAAGGCTCCCTATGTTACTTCCAATGTGAAGTGCGCGGGCTTGTCGTGGCTAGCTGTGAAAGTGATAGAATCTCGTTGCGCCGCAACTGCATATTACTGGTCCCATGGCAGGGGCCAATCTCGTTCGGAGGATAATGTGCAAAATATTTCACCAACCCTTTGTGGATGCAGGTACACATATGTGCTTCGGCCAGCAGTGGCCGATCTAGCCAGTGTCCGCCGAATCTGTGGTGTGGCTGCTCCGGTTCTGCTGGCGCACCCAGCTGTGGCCTATGGATTCCCTGTGAAATGCGCCCACTACGTGGCAACACGGCCAATGGCTTACGCCCCAAATTGTTTGCGATGACAGGCTGGTTGGGAGGTGGGATTTTGCGGGGGCGAACGTATCTACCCCACGTTGGTCGGGGAGGCATGAATGCCGAATTTCTCACTTCATGAAACTTTCTCGCGGAGATGTTCTCAGTCATATTGGTGCGCCACAAATTGAGATTTCGAGGTCAACAGGAGAACAGTTCAAAGTCAAGCCGTGCTGATTCAGATGGAGGGTTGATGCTGTCCCCAGATACATATATAATCAATTATAATCATAGAATCATATATATATATATAACTATATTTTGGTGGTTTGACTTTTACTTGTACCCGCCTGAGTTTTTGTCTCAAACTCGGATACTGCGAAGTTTGATATTAAAATGTGAAAATAGGTGTGGATTTAAGTTTGGGTACATCAAGAAATGGATAATTTAAGACTATCACCGGCCAGCCCATGTGGTCGGTGTGTCAAGCCATCACATCCCGGTGACCCAATGGTTACAGCCACGTTGTGGCTGAGCACCCCACTGGAGGTGCCGCTGAAATCGTCGCGCAGAATAAAATACCGCAGTGGCGCAGTGATGCGAAATCCTGGCGTTCGGGTATCGAGTTTTTTAGGGTGCAAAAAAATCATCAAAAAGGCTCAGATCAAAAAGACCCACAGCTGGCACAAGCAGCCGACAGTTTTGGACAAGCAAACAAATTGGTACATGATTCATGGTTGATCCGGTGCTGTCTTTCGCCTCAAGTGTAAACACGCCCGGCCGGTGCAAGCCGCACATGAGCCGCCGCACATGACTCCGTCGTCAAATCCTTTGGCCCGGTTGAAAGGCGCGGTGGGGGGCAGAAAGGAATCTGATGTAATCCGCACATGCTCAATCAACCGACGGCTTGTTCCATTCATTTTCATGTTTCAATGCAATGAAACCCCATGGATTTTCCACTATGTTGCAAGGTCTATCCTCATCCATAGGTGGGGATTCAAGATTTTGGCCAGGCGATGTTCGATGAAAGGTCGCAGCCAGTGCCTGGGCAGTTGGCGACGGGAACATGTTGGAGATACGTTCGTACTATGTTGAAAGGATTTGCAGGTATGGTATGCATACAACCTCATAGCATCTGCATCAATGATGTTCATTTTTTTGATATCTACTAGATGTCCACCAACCCCCTCATCAAATTCATGACAAAACATATTATCTATCTATCTACCTACCTACCTAGCTATCTATCTGTCTGTCTGTCTGTCTGTCTATCTATCTATCTATCTGTCTATCTATCCATCTATCTATCTATCTGGGTGTGTTTTATGGCCCTCCAGTGCGTTGATCTATCAGAATCTGGATCAAAGTTGTTCACCAATATTCACCAACCAATTTTGGTAAGATGTTCGTTTCACCGCCTATGGGGAGTGGGTCCCGGTTTCACTGGCTATATATCCATTCAAATCCCCACAAAACCAAATAGAATCATGTTCTTTGCAGCTTAAACCCTATGTGCGAGTCTAGATTTATGGACTTCCAAACTTCCGAAATTCGAGATGGAACCCACAAATTGCCATTTCCAATTGGAGAACCATCTTCCCCTTGAGTTCCCTGTCAGATCCCCAAGAATCTCCATGGCGACGGCAAAGGACAGTGATGGGACGGCCGATGGCGAAAGTCAGGCAGCGGCAGATGAGGACAGTTTTGAGATGGTTTCGGGGGTGGAGCAAACAGTTTGATGAAATTCCCCCCAATTTGTGATTGCCACTTTCTTGGGATGATATTATGTGAGAAGACCTTTCTATGATGTAGGAACGAGAATGGGATACTTTTCACAAGTTGGACTTCAAACTCATGCATCAAACTAACAAACTAAAGGCACTAATGTCATTCATTGTTCATTTGCCACTCATTTAGAGCTGTCTGTTGTTGGCATAGTAATTCCCAGCTACAAACCATGTCTAACTCGTTAAGCCCAGATATATGTGGACCTTCTTTGGCACCCCTTGGCCCCAATGGCCAGGAAGACGTCGATGACGACCGCATCGCTTTCGCCAGTCACGAAAGTGGGACTGAAAACACAGTACATGCAGAGGAACGAGCCGTGCAGGACCGCAGGTCAAGGCATAAAGACTTGGGGAACTGGCCACAGGTTTTGGTCCAGTTGTAGATCATCCATTTTGGGAGTACCCCAATTTTGAGAGACAGATATTAGCCTCCTGGACGAAACCCATGTACATATTATGATTTTGTTGCGCCGATGCGTCGGAAGTCTCTGTGTCTAGAAGGCGCTGTGTGTAAAAAAAATCCGGGTGTCGGCTGTGCATAGAGCATCCATGCGCAAACGCGAAGGCATTTGTATGTCTTTTTTTTTGTGTAACGGATGGAATGTGGTGAGATGTGGTGAGATGCGGTGAGATGTGGTGAGATGTGGATATTTGGAAAAGCCTGGATGTCTTGGAATCGAGGAGCTTCTGGAGAAATACGCCGAGGTCAACCCTGACGACTTCCCCTCGTTTCGTCTGCCAGTCTTCTTGGCCGACAAGATGCAGACTACTTGGCAGGTGCCACACCAGTGCCGCAGTCTTTTGTTTAGTCTCTAATGGTGTTAATCGAGTTTTGATCAAGTTTAGATCTAGCAGATTTAGCAACATTGCTTGGACCATTGATTTCTACCAAATTCATGGTGTTCTCTCAGGGCAGTCAACCTTGCAATAAAGAAACCGGGGTTTTGGTAAGCCAATTCCTCCAAGAAAATTGCACCAAGAGTTGAACTCAGTGCAGGAGTTTACCGTGTTTACCCATCCTTTTGGCACCGCTGTAGGCCTTTTTGCAGAAATACTCCTCCAGAGAGTTCGCAGGTGAAGCTATCTTCGACTCTATCATGGAGGACGGGAAGCAGGGTTTTGGATGGTTTTGGTGGGTTTCTGTTTAAAGCAAGAAACCTGTCATTAACTTGCATCAATTCAGAAGTAGAAGTTTCAATCCTGGCCATGTCGATGAGCCAACTGGATGTGAAGTAAACACCAAGCAGGAACCCAACAGGTACACCAAATGGGACTCAGCCTCGCGGAATTTCCTCAGGAAGCACCTACGCTACAAGGTATGTTCAAGATGCCAAGGCCGAGACACGTCCCAGTTTGGAAATGGAATATCCCCGTCGCCAAGATCTTTGGCGCATCTGAAAGACGTCTTTGCCCGAAAGCGATTTAAGCCCGAACTTCGCTATATGTGGAGGTTTCGGCACCAGAATGAGTTTGAAAAACAAAAGAAAGCCACCAGATTTGATGGTTCATGCCATGATTGATCATCATCATCATCATCATCATCATCAGATTTTCCCCAGGATTTTGCAATTTTCTTGGGATTCTCCCATCTCAAGGCCAATGCTCTGCCGTCAGGTCGGTCTTCGGGATTCGTTTCACCATGAGCTTCACGCAACCTGGTATAGCCATGGAGCTATTGACCGGCCAAAATGGGGATTCGATGGGGATTTAAGCAAATTCTAAGGCCACACTTAGGTGCATGTATCATAAGTATGACCATATTTAAATACCCCATATATGGGCCCCTAGAACTATGGAATACTATGGCCATATTTACCCAGGAAGGCCAGGAAAATAATCCAAACATAGGAAGGGGGGTCATATTTTCTGACACTGGCAACCGGTCAGAGACATCGGTCATGGCTTGTATTTGGCATTTCAATTTTTCAAGATTTTTCAAGATTTTTCAACTTTCAATTTCCAGTTGTTTTCCAGTTGTCCCAAGGAACATCATCGGAAATTGCAACGATGCGGCGCTCCTGAAGAGGTTAGTTGAGACCCTGGGTTTCCAACACATGGATTTGGAGGTCACCGGGCCTCGCGTCTCTTGGATCGACAAGGCCAAAACGACAGCCATTGCCAATGAGGAAAGATCACATGATTTCACGACATGTTTCCTAGATTTCATAGATTTTCATAGATCATAGTAAAATGATGTAACATGATGTAACATGCCTTTTTTCAAGATGATTTTTGAACATCCCACATGTCACGGCACCGAGGTGGGAGTTATTCGAGATGCCATTATGGCAGTGGTGGAGAACGAGCTGGGGGTATCTCTGGAGCCTGTCGTGGGCCGTGCTTTCAAGGCGAGCGATGAGCGATGACCGGAGTCGGGTCGGAGTCGGCATGGGTCATCTGACACGACTGGCCACCGCCATGGTGTTTTGATTCGTTGATTTACTGATTAGTTACTGATGAGCAATTCATGTGTGTTTTGGTTGCCTGTTTCATCTGTTTCGGTTTCGGATTTGACAGGCAATTCTGAACTACACCGGCGGCGCCTTCATTTTTGTGAAGTGCGAACTGGGCGGTCGGATCAGGAGCACGGAGGTTGTGGAGCCGCGGAGCGGATCAAAGTTCCAAAAAAGGCTCAAAGGGACCTGCATTTTTTGGGTTGCTCTGAAACTCTGAAGCCATCAGTGTGCAATTTATATTATATATTTTTATATATTATATACAATTAATTACTAATGGCATATAATCTATGGAATCTATCCAATTGTATATAATAGATACAGTATAATTTATATATATATATATCCAACTCCCCATGGCCAGTGCCCATGGTGAGTTTCCCAGTGCGATGAATCATGAATTCCAGGATCATCCAGCGAAGCTGGCGGATCGCGAACCGCCACTCGGCACCGGAAACATGACCCAAAAAAAACATGTTTAATGAGGAAAATGGTGGGGAAATGGAAATACATGGAAATACAGTAGTACATGATAATGACTTGGAAGTTGGGGGTACCCTGTTTTGAGACAAAGTCCATGAATGCCCATGACACTTCCCGCAAACTTCTGTCTCCAAGGTAATGAGCTACAAGAGGGTGAAGATCCTACTGGAAGCCAACTGGGGACCATGGAAGAAGTCCAGGAGGAAGTAGAAGAGGACGGCGCAGATTTCGTTTCTCATAGGAAAATCTGCACTCAACCGGTCGGAAGCTGTCCTTCGCCACAGCTCTCGATTCCTCGATTCCAGGAGGAGTATCTGACGATGCAGGACAACGAGGAAATTGCTGCCATTCTTGACGCCAATGGTTCCTTTGGCAGCATCATCTTCGATTTTGTGCTGGGAGATTCATGAAGATTCGCAGTATGGGGGCTGCTTCCCCAAGTGACAACAGAATCACATGTCTCGCTCTGATTTCCTCCCTTTGCAGGTGACAAGGGCCAGAACGCAAAGGCGATGCTGCATGGAATGGGTTGCATTTGGCTAAGCGACTACAAATATCCCAGTATCCCAGTACACTATGTCTATCCGAGTCTATCCTGTTGACGCCATTTTTGGATCATTCGGGTCATTCGCAACAGGTTCCGTCCACCTTCCCCGAGATGTTCCTCTTCAATGCTGCAGTCATGGGCTTTAGCGAAAGTTCCTCAGCCACAAATGGCTTTTGTATGTTTTTGTGATGCCTGGATCTTTGGATCTTCTGTTGTGCCTTTGGAAAAAAACATGTTTGGAATGTGAATGAACATAATGAAGCAACAGTGGAAAAATCGTTGCTTCCCATTCTGGAGCGGTCTGCACTCTTGACTGTTTTGAGGTAAGTGGATGAAACAGGTGCTGAGCCTCGTCGGAACAGAAATCTGTGCAGCCTATCTCCTATCCCCTCAGAAATGGCGAGTTAGAAAGTTGCTTTCTTGAAACAAACATTGTAACAATTTGTAACAATTGGGTTTGTCTGAAAATAGGCTATATTCCCAATGAAATAGCCATTTAAAAACGGGATAATGATCAGCAAAACCATTGGGTAAATGGGGTTTTCTCTATTTTCAGACACACCCAATTTGTAACATACCTGTGAATGATCTGTGATCTAAACACTGCAGAACCACCAAGGGCTTCGCTGGATGCTATCGCCACGAATGTGGCAAATTCAGCGAGACTTCAGGAGAGGTGTGGATCAAAACCCGAAAAAAGGCCCCAGTTCCCATCAGAATTCAAAATCACTGGAACTTATGGATGTGAATAACCGGCCAAAATATCATGATAATATGATATAATATGATATAGCTGTTGATGCAGGGATACAACCAATAATTCAGATTTCAACGATGAAAAAATGCAGATATCAAGAACAACAATTGGGGTGTAACGTCACCTGCAAAAATTGCATATTACCAACGATAATGAGGATATAAAGGGAGGATACAGCAGGATACCCAAAAAATGTTATATGGGTTTGTCCGGAAATGATGCATACCGGATCATGCCGCATAAAAACCCGAAAAGTATCGGGGTAGTTCATATTTTAGGACCCCAGATTTCCGCAGAAATCCTGACCTGCGAATGATGCTGAATCGGAAGCTGCTGTGGAATATTGGTATCGACCAACTTGCTTTGATCTTTTCTCAGAATTCTTTTCAAATTTCAGAAATGTGATCCAATTAGAACTGGGAACTGAGAGCACAATTTGCATGCTGTACGATTCAGGAAGAGTGCGACGTGCTGTCTTTGGTTCTTGCCAAGTACAAGGTGCGGTGAAATGAGTGAAATTGGTGAAATTGGTGAAATTTGTTGAGTTGTCGTTGAGTTGTCTGGTGCTGAATGGTGCAAAGTTTCCATGTGGAAAACCACGTGTCTTCGCAACGATCGTGGCATTTTTCGGCAGGGAGTGATCAACCTCCCAGAGTTCAAGGCGGTGATGTTAGCGTCGCTACGCTCCGTGGTCCCGCAAGACTGGGCGCCTCGACGGGCCATGGGGGGCCATGGAGATAGCTGTCCCACCCCATGGGAAGATGGGAGAAATCTGTAGGACATCTGTAGGAAATATGCCATCTAAACCCATCTAAACCACGACAACTCTAAGACCTGGGTGTGATCCTGATGGTAGGATTCAGCTGAGACTGAAATGGAAATGGTGGAATTTTGCTGAGGCTTCCCTATGAACATTTCATGGGATGACTTCCCAAAGACGGTTTGTTAAAAAATCATCGTTCCCCATCGAAACATTGGTTGGGGCTGAGCAGTTGTACCATTTTTCGATCCGTTGAGATCTGTTGAGGATATGGAACATGAAACTGCATGGACCTGGTTTTGGGAAAACGTCGAGCGAATGCTGATGCTTGGCAGAGATCGCGATCTTTTGTGTAGAACCTGCTGACCCCTGTCCACATCATGATCCTCATCCTTACGTTGTTTTGTCATGCAATCATCATTACTCAATGTACTCCTTCACCATCACCATTAACCATTAATAGCCAGTATTAACCATTGCCAACCACCACATCATCATCATCATCATCATCATCATCATCATCATCAGGATGATCAACAACCACATGGTCCACACATCCAGACATCCACAGCGAGGACGGCAATGATGGGCACTCCCCTCCGCTATGAGAAGGCCTTGCGGAACTGGTTGGGCGACATCAGCGAGGCTCTCAAAACTCGGGGGATGGATGAAGGGAATGGGAAACTTTAGGGATTAGACAGAATTAGACACATGGTTTTTTTCTTTTTACGTCAGAGTTTTGTTGAGAAGAGAACTGATGTTGGCATTCCCATTCCGGCCACAAAATGATCAGCCGTTCCCATTCCGCGCTGGCCACCCGCCGGCCGACTGTGTCACCGTACGCCGTAGGAGACCCGGATGAAGTGGCGAAGGCTGGTCTTCTCCAAGCTCTTCAAGACCACCCCGGCGGCACAGCATCTCGGCGCTTGAAAAATCTTGAAATGTTTGGATCACCCGCATCCCTGGCATTGCGTGCCTTGTAGATTTCTACTTTGTGGTATGCTTGAAACTAAACTGATGGATCTGATGGTGCTTGTGAATGCGTTGCTTCATTGGCACGTCAGGAACTATCTGAAACAGTCGACGGGCCGATTGCATTTCATTGCAGATCGGATCTTGGAATCTTGGATCAGAACGCCAGGCTGTACACGGTGTATCTCATCCTACAAATATCTTCAGGTATCTCCAGGTTGAAGCTCTTTTCATCTCTTTTCCTTGTTTCGAGACATCAAACTTTGGTGGCTCCCAGAAAGAGGAACAGAGACACAGCGTAGAGTCGTAGAGAGGGACTGTACAAACCTGTCGGACCTGAGTCACAGTCCGACTGCAGACACTCTGCAGATACTTTTGAAAAAAGAAAAATTGTCTCCCCCGATGGATAGTGAGGTTGGTTTGATATGGTTTGATCGATTTCAATCGGCAAGGTTCAACAAATGCTTCATAATCTCCAGGGTTGAAGTGAAGATGATTTTACCATGGTAAATTTGTAAAAAAAAATGTTTAAAAAAACAAAACGCTCAGCTTTTTCCATCGCAGGAGATGACCTTGGAACTCTACATGGATCCTTTGACCATGGTCGATCAGATTTCTGCCTGTGGCCTCCGACACGTCGGCTACGGCGTGCCCACAGAGCTTTTTGTGCCACTGGTGGCGGCCTACACCGATGCCACTTGGAGAACTTGGAGAACTTGGAGACAGAGAAGAACATGGTGATTTCATGGTGATTTCATGGTGATTTAATGGAAAATCCATAGAATCTTTCCTAAAGTCATGGTGGTACCCCCCAAAATCATCCAAAATCAGACCATTTCAGAAATCTGTGGGTTTGGGGGTCGTATCTTGGAATGTCTTGAAATGTCTTGAATATATAGACCTTCAAGAATTGGATCATGTGAATATTGTGACTAAAAACCTTAACATCATCACCTCTTTTCACTCGAGAGACAAAAAGGCTCAGGCGTACAGGCCTCAGTGTGCAGTGAACACTCCTTAGTGAACAGGCCTTAGAGTGCAGTGAACAGGCCTCAGAGTGCAGTGAGCTGCCGGCTTTACACTCCTCCTCGCCTGAGGCTTACTGAAAATCAAGATCAAACGGTAAGGGAGACGAACATTCGTCTTTGGGTGAAAATGTCTGTACATTGCGACTCAAACCTTTGTGTCTACTTTCAGATCAGCTTGCCGTAGCCAATCATTTCAAACCCAACAACAACTGCGCATGTGACAAGAGAGGGGCCGCCAAATGCTTCGTTAGCACGTCAGCGGTCTGGTCTTTGCTCGCCACATATTGCAATGTGATCCAGCCTCTGGAAGCATAGTCACGAATGGCCGCTGCCCTGAGCTGAAAATGGCGAGTTCGCCAAGTGGTGCGCTCAGTGGCAATGCGCAAAGCAGCCTGGTTGTCAATCATCAGCGCCAAATCGCAAGCGACACCCATGGAAGCCAAAGTATCACTCATGCTCAACGCTAAAGGGAGACCCGCAGCCGCAGCATAGAGTTCAGCTTCCGCTGTGTTGAGTGCTACCAACGTTTCTCGGCTTGACCGCCAGCTCAGCGGCACACCGTCCCACATGAGGACGACGCCGTACTGGGAGTAGTCTCCAGTGGGCGCCCAAGAGGCATCACAAAAGGCCTGCAGAGAAACCTTTGCCGTAGGATCTTTGAATGGCCGCATGATCAAACCATAGTCAAGCGTGCCCTTGAGATACCGCAACAACCGTTTTGCCATGCTGATGCACCGTTCTGGATCAGAAGTCATGCAAGATGAGCACCTGTTGACACCATATGCTATGTCTGGTCTTGTACGCGTGGCCAACCAATTCAAAGCACCTGCCACTTGCTGTGCTGCTTGCACCTGATCCTTGCTGACACTCTGCGACTCAGCCGGCGTGTTCGAAGCAAACGACTCAGGATCCCCAGTGGTGGTAGCGTGCTTTGCCTCACCTAAGCCCCATTTCACCAACAAGTCTTGCACATATCGCTTCTGATGCAAGTGCAGACCGCCATCAGCCAGACGTTCCACGTCCACACCGCAAAAGCGCAAGGTCCGACCCTGATCTTGTGCCTCCAAGACGGTTGGCTCTGAGGATTGCCAGAGCCCCCCGATGGCATTCAACACAGCATGAACAACATGCGATGGGCCAGTTGCAAGCATGTCATCAACGTATGTACACAACTTGGCCAGCACCTGTCCGTCACAGGTAACGGTCCACAAGGAAGGATCCGTCACACTTTGGACAAGCGTTGCTTTTTTGTCAGACAAAGGAACTTTCAAGCATTTCAAACGGGCGTCTCTTTCTTGCGCCCACAAGCGCGGGCATTCCCGGAGACCGTACAAGGCACGAGAGAGAAGCCAGTACTGCCCCTCGGGAATTAAGCCCATGTCTACAAGCACCCGGGGTGGAATGACAATAACGACACGATCGGGAGGCAACATGGCGTTAAGAAACGCAGACTTTATGTCAAGGGAGCCAACTGCCCACTTGTGGCCGGCAGCCTCACGCAGGACAGCACGTGCGACTGCGGCGTCTAAGGTATTGCAATAGACCGCATCCCAAATTTCACTAAAGTTGCCACAAACCGCAACTCGCAGCTTGTGCCTTTTGGGACCACCCGGACTGGAAGAAGGCTTCAAAGTCCAAACGGCCTTGGCTGGTAGCACTTCAGCACCCTCAGCCTTCAAGCGGCGCATGTGCTGTGCGTCTATGGGAACGTAAGTCATATGGCTTTGGAGGCCATGCAACTCTGTTTCCCCGGCTTGCCACCACTTCGCCTTTTCCTCACCAACACTCGCAAGAACGGTCTTGGCCGGGACATCAACAGCAACACTGTCAGGATCCATGGCAGCAGCAGCTTGCAAAACCGCAGGCGCGGAAACTTCATCACCACCACGCTCGCCAACATCTTCTACGAGAGCCAGAAAAGCCGACGAGAGGGGCAGTGTTTCCCATGTTGGTGGCGCCTTTTGCTTTCCACGCAAACGCCTTCTGCGGGGCACTGCTTGCCAAGGCGGTTCACTTGACAAGTCCGGCTGGGGTTGTGTCCCAAGGTGTGTGCCCTGCTCCCCCTGCTCCTCCTCAACCAAATCAGCCCAAGAAACTTTCTGCCGAAGTCTGTGTGTGGGGTTGGGGGTTTGGGTAGCACCAGGGGAAAGGACAGGTCTAGCGCAAGCAGTGGTCCCAACCGAGCCAGATTGATACAACACAAAGCTGCCACCTACAATTCGTTCACAAACACCCAAGTAGCGAGCCGACAGCCCTCTGGGCATGAAGTCATTACTATCCCTTTGCCTTTGCCGCACCACCACCTGAGCTCCAAAGCAAGGCACGTCCTTCGGCACTTCTTCACCTTTGGCGTGCTTACGGAGAAGGTATGAAGCATGCAACATAGTCCATGGCCAGAACTTTACATCCAAGCTGCTGTCAAGCAACATGGCACGAGCCTTCTCTTTCAAAATGCCAACATACCTCTCAGCAAGTCCATTGGCTCTAGGGTCACTTCCCTCGGTGGTTGTGCACCACAAGCCTTGCTGGAGCGTATACTGGTGCAAAGTTTTGTTGACAAATTCTTTGCCTCTATCACTATGCAACCTGAACACAACCTTGCCTTCATACTCCGCCTGAATTTGCGCGACCACACTCGCCACAGCTTCAGTGACCTCTGTTTGGGTCTTGGTTAAAAGCCAACGGACGTAAGGCAACGGGTTGCCTTTTTCCAAAGGGCGAAAAACTGCCACCAAAGCCCAACGCCAACCACCCTCTGCTGCCGCGTGGGGCCCGGTTAAATCCAAGGCCAAAACGCCACGTGACTTTTCATCATCTGGGACATGGCGATGTATTCTACCTCTGGAGTCAGCTAAGCGACAGATTTCACACTCAGGCTGGGATGGATGGTGGCCACACCGACGGTGCTCTTCGGCCTCAACATCCCTCACTGCTGCAGCAAAACACCGGGCCAAAAGCTCAGGCTCATCACCTAGGTCCTCTATAAAGGGTTCAACAAAAACAGGCATCTCCTCCTCCTCCTGAGCATGGCCCGCAGCAAGCCAAGAAAACCAGGGATCGTCAGGATCGAAAGTCACCTCAGACTCGTCATCATCGGCGATGCAGAAAGACTGAGTGGAATCAAGGACCGACAAGGAGTCAAGGAACAAGCGGGCACAGTTGGGATCAGGACGGGATGACTGGACAGAGGAGTGCACGGATTGACGAAGGCGTTCAAAGTCAGGCTTGGACAAGAAAGGGGAAAAGTTCTGCTGCGACAACGAAAATACTTCACCAGTATGCTTGTCAGTCAAAGTAGCGACATCACGGTCCCAATAGAAAGCAAGGTCCAAGGCATGAATGTACCGACCCAACGACATGGCGGTGTCGCCGGCCTGCGGGGAAACAAGTTCTTCATGCTCGTCCAAGAAGGCCGTCTGGTCAGGCCCTAAAGCAACTTTCACAGCAACTTCACGCAACAAGCGCCAATCCTCCTCGGGGGCAGCCGGCCGCACCACGTGCGACGCACCACTGTCAACCAACACACCTGGAGTGTCAGGCAACACCACCTGCGCCAATCGGGCACCACGCAGCTCAGGTTGGGCAGACGGAGCAGAACCAGAGGAAGCAGGACGCTGTCGGGCCTCAGAAACAAGTTCAAGCATTGTGGTACGCACCTGTTTAGCAACCAACTCCGCCAAGGACGCGTCAGAAATTCCTTTTTGGGGTGCTGGAAGGGCCTTGGGGGAGGGTTTGGGGGCAGCCTTAGCCTTACCTGCGGGAAGGGGTTTGTGTGGGCCACCATCGGAGCGGGTGGGACGGTCGCACGCCGACGCCTTGTGAGCAGACGAGCCACAGTGAAAACAGCGACCAGACGAAGGATCCAACCAAGCATGCTGCCAAGAACAAGCACCACCTTTACGGCATCCAGACGCTTTGCTAAAGAACTTGCAGGGCCGGGCAGCCGCGGGTTGCCTGTTGCCGTCTTGGCGCGGGTTATGCACGCCAGCGGATCGAGCAGCCAACTCATCCATCTGTTGCGCGGCTGCGTGGCTGTTTCCTGGGTGATGCTGTTGTTTGCCTGCATTGCTGTTGCTGCTTTTGTCCTGATCCTCAGCAAGCGACAAAGTGCGAGCCTCACCTTGCAAGTACACAGCATAAGCACTCACCTTTTCCTGCGTAGCATGATGGTCAAGCCCAGAACTCACACGAAAAGTCTGTGAGCGGAACTTGAAATCCTCACAAGATGCTTCAACATGCTGCACAATCAAACGCAAAGCGCGATAACAA